CTGCGAGAGAAGAGGAGGAGGAGCGATGAAGAGGGATGGTGGCGGTGATGCTTGCCGTTGGCTCTGGCTGGTGATGAAAATTCTGCAAAGCCAAGATTGTCAGTGATTTAGCCTTGCTTGACGGTGGCAAGCCCTTGCTTACCGCACAAGCACCACTCAGGAAGAGCAGTCTTTGAAACTGGGAAGGAGAGCAACTGAGTGTACCCGATGTCGCCTCTGCCGTTCAGCGCTGGTGTCCGAGCTGGAGCTTGGAGATTCTCAGGAATGTTGGCGAGCCGGCACAGCGGAAGCATCTTGAAGGCGAAGGTAGAAGCTGGCGAAGGCGAGGTGATCTCGCCGCCTCGATGGAAGCTTTGCTGCTGTTGCTGGCCCGGCGCAGTGCGAAGGTGGCGAAAGCTGCGGAATGTTAGCGAACCTTCGCGGCGGCGACGGCATGGTCAGAACGTGGCGGCGGCGACGGCAAGCTCGATGAGGAGGAAGGGAAGAAGCAAGAAGCGATGATGAAAGCTTGTCGTCGCTGGCTGTGGTGATGGAGTGGTGTCAGTGAGTGGTGGAAGGAAGAACTCGCCTCCTTGAGCAGCTCCACGGCGCCAGCGTGCAGCGGCAGCATACCGCCGGCGGACGGCAATATGCTGCTGCTGATGGCGCTGTCGTGCGCTTGAGTATGATGATGGGGAGATGTTCGTGGTGATGGAGTGGTGATGGTGGAAGGTGGAGGGTGGATGGTTGTGAGGAAAGGAAAGCTGGAGTGGAGCGAAAAGCTGGAAGCCGCGTTGGAGCACTGCCAAGCTTCCAGGCAGCTTCAGTCTCTCCGGCTCTACAGCGACGATATGGCCGCCATGAGGCTCAGAATTCTCCGGTCAATGGCGGCGCACCAAGGCGGACCCTATATGAAGCTCCTCAAACAATGGTGAGGCATATAGGCACCTGTGGCGGAATGCGCAGCCTGGCGAGGCAAAGAGAGTCGACGACCACGGCGGCAGCACGAGTGGACCCCTGATTCGTTTCAAACCGCCGGAGTGCTTCCAGTTTCACTGCGTCTGCCCCGCAGCGACGGTATGGTCGGCACATGGCTCAGAGCACAATACAAAATGGCGGCGCACCGAGATGGAGGATACTAGAAGCTCCTCCAAAAATTTTGAGGCATATAGACATCCGTGGCGGAATGCGCAGCATGGCGAGGCAAAGATAGTCGAACAACACGGCAGCAGCACGATTGAACCCCTTGTCCGTTTCGAGCCGACTGAGCCCCGCTTCACTGCCTCCGCCCTCCAGCGACGGTATCATGGTATAAACCACAATGAACAATGGCAGCGTACCAACATATAGTCTCCGTGAAGCTCCTTCAAAAGTTCTGAGGCATATAGACAGCTGTGGCGAAATGCGCAGCACGGCGAGGCAAGAGAGACTCCCTTTACACGGCCGCGCGACGAACGGACCCCTTCTTTGCTTTGAGGCTGGCCTGACGCTTCAGCTGCCTCTCCTCGGCGATGACAGTATGGCCGCCACGAGGCTCAGATCTCTACGGCAGGTTTCGGCGCAGAGAGCGATAGTGCCTACGAACCTCCTCCACTTTTGTGGTCACATATGGTCACGAGATGAAGGATGCGCAGCAGATTCAGGTAAAATGGAGTCGTGCAGCATGGCTCGAAGTACACTGGACCCCTGGATTCAGTCGTGAGCTTGAGTTGTCTCCGCTCGGCAGTGACAGTATGACCGCCACGGGCCTTGATACACTGCGAATTGTGTCGGCGCAGCGAACCATAGTGCTCACGAATATCCTCCAATATTCGCGAAGATATGAGGACATGAAATGAGAGATGCGCAGCAAATTCAGGATAATAAATTTTATGCAGCATGGCTTCAAGCGGATTGGACCCCTGATCAGCTTCCCACTGTGTCTCGCACGGCAGCGACAATGTGGCCGGCTAGACGCTCAAAATGCTCTGGACGTAGGCAGCGGAGTGAGCGACAGTATCTATGCAGCTCCTCCGACTTTCGCGAAGGCATACAGACACAGATTGAATGATGCGCAGCTTGAGAAGGCAGATTTGACTCGCGCGACAAAGGCAGCGTCAAGCACATTGAACAGCTGGCAGACGGTCTTTGCGAGTTTCAGACCTGGTGCAACAACTGCCGATGTTCGCTAGCATGAGTGCCATCTTCACCACACTCGGAAACCCACCAGCAAGCTCATCAAGGGCTCCTACCTCCTTGCAGCCTCCTTTTGGCCATCATACGACCTCGACGTGGAAACCAGCGCCGCGCGACTGGCGGGTTTGCTCTCCGCGTTCAGACAAAGGCCACGAGATTCCAGAACACACGTGCTTCTTCCAAGCAGCTTTTGCTGCCTCTCTCCTACACACGCGGCTTCCCACCCTTCGCCCCTGAGGATTTGCGAAAGAATACAACTCCACAAACCACCCTTTGCACCACGAAACCCATGCGCTCCTCGAGAGATAGCCCACAAAGCCGTGAACCAGGCACCGGAACGGAGTCGGAGGATGGACGGAAGCGGCAAGGATCATAGGCTCAGGAGGCACAGTCGTGGGCAAGGCAGCTTTGAAAGAAGGRCCGTTCGGTGGATTCAGACCATCTGGAGGAACAAAGCCAGAGCCCTTTGCAGGACATGGTACACCTGAGCCAAGTAGTACAGCGTAGCTTCTCAGATACATGCGGGTCAGGAATCAACACATCCATCTATCCAAATTCTCTGTTTTGACATTGTAGTAGAGGTGGCAGGCAGGCTTGCTCAGCATGGGGATCCAAAGGGCAGCGTTTCGAGGCAGACTCCTTGCCGMACAGAAGCAGCCTGTCTGTAACAATAACTTGAAATCGAGGAATCAGGAGCAGGGCACCCTTTATGGATATCGTCGAAGCAAAACGCACGTCGCCTTTGGCAGTGGTTTTACATGCCCGACGATACTTTGAGCACTCTCGGGAAACCCTTTCGAGAGCCCTTCTGAGAGGCATTTCAGGACCGGCGACAATACGGCAGGCAAGGATTCATGAGAAGGAATGGGACTTTAAGCTGGACCGGACCACAAAGCTCCAAATGAAATCCAGTCGGCGGATCATCACGCACAGGAAGGACGTTGGCAGCTACTACTCAAAAGAGCTTGGAAAGGTTTACATATCGCAAGATGACTATCCATGAGCAGACAAGTTCAACAACTGCATGCAATGTGGTACTTCTCTCTCCAGTACGCTGGTACATCAGTCGAATATCCGCAGCTTTATAAGTCGGGAACTGGGGACGGCATTGCAAGAGCGGAAGAATAGCTTCGCCGCTTTCTTTCCCTTCATGAGAGGACTGGCTGTCTATGGATCAATAGCCTCATTTGTGCGGTCAAAAGATGGCACAGGTCTTGATTTAGGCTGAGAGCATTCAGTGACCGAAAAGCAACTGATATCCAATGAAGATTGAAAGTCACGAAGCAGGGTCGCAGTTTCGAAGCACAAGATGTCGCTCACCCCTGTGGAAAGCTGCGAAGGCCATGCCGAAGAAGCAAGGGAAAGACGGCTAAGAGATATGGCGGAGCAGACGGCTACGCCAACTCCGGAAATTGTATTGAGGGCAGACAGTGTGCAAGGGAGGAGATAGACAAGAGTGGAGGAAGAGAGCTTCTGCTCAATGTTGTGGCAAACCTGGTGCTCGCTTGTAGATGAATGCTTGACTACACCGTCGTGCAGGTGTTTCTTGCAGATATCTAGCACACTTGCGAGTGAGAAAGCTCTGGGCGGAAAGTAATCCTGAAAGGGAGATGTCCATAAACTGTAAACGTAAATAAACTTTTTCATTTCTGGTGTCTGTACACGGAGGTCCGAGAAGAAGCATGCTGCTCGTGCTTCAAAGCTCAGAAAAGGATGAAGAGGACATCGGTACTCAAGACTGCGGGTCTTGCCGGCTGTTTCCAGCGGGTAGAGTAAGCATTGGGCTATGCGTACGCCCATCGCACGTGTTCCGTATACATACCTCCGTATGCTCTTCTCAAAGATGTCAACCCCGGAAGCATGCAGATTGAGGCCTGAGGAACTCGTCAGTCAGATTCCGCTTTCGCTTTCTTCGGACTACTTGAGCTCATCGGATGCTGTTCCCTATCCCGTTGTCGAATCTTGTCCACGGTTTCGTTACATTGCCTTCCTTCAACACACTGACGAGAAGACCACGTAGATTCAGTCTTGGGACTGGACTTGCACAGCATCCAAACATCAGCTGCTTGTAACATCTAGCCACATCTCTTATTCTGAGTCCTTTGCCGCAGTGCTTTGTCAGATCTTTTCAGCAAGTTTCGGCTGTGCAGATGAACACCGTATAGGTCAAACAAGCGGAAAAAGGAGACCACTTCCAGGAACTTGTCGGTTGACATGTTTGGACAAGCGGTCGGAGAGCTGCAGCACCTTCTGTTGCGTTCACGCCAGCGTCGCACGCCCACAACACTCTAAGGTGAATACAAATCTCACCGGACCTATCTCCCATCATGTCAATCCACCGTGCGGCATAGCCAGATGCCGCTTGAATGCTGTTCCTCTCTTGAGATAAGTATACTGTGGTCGTCATCGACAGATGTGCTCCTACACGTTAGTCGGGGAGACTCCACACAGGGCCGCTCAGCGCGAGTTCTGGCGCCCTCCAGGCCTCACCTTTTCGTGCGATGCCTTCTTAGGTGAATGCTTCTCTGCTGAATGTTTCCAAGTGACGCACTACTCGCTTGAGGGATGGTGGTCAGCGCTGGTGATGACTAGATTGCTTCTGGAATCGCTTCACAACATGTCGAAAATTCTTAGAAGGTCGAAACTCCACTTCACCCGGGCTATTAAGGTTTGGTGCGTCGTGCGGCGTTCGTGACGCGCTGGYGTTTGTAGTAGACATCAAAACTTCATCTCGTCTCCAACTTCTCAACACTCAACATTCAACACAATAACATCCAACACAACAATCACCAAACAACCATCACATCCCTGCATACAACACTACACCTCAACCTCAACAGGCCAACATGGTCGGCTTCTTCTCCTTTGGGAGGAAGCGCAAGGCGCGGGACGCGCTCGAGGGCGATCAATCGCGCCAACGTCCCAACCCGGCGGAGATGACGCACGATCAGCGCAGCAGCCTTCTCTCGTCTGTTCCGGCGGCTTCAGACCTTGATGAAGCGCAAGCGGACCACGATCTGGCAACTGATGCAACGCCCAAGGATCTTCTGAGTGTGCAGCAAGATGCTACTCCTGTTGCGAATATCGCCGTCGTTGCGCGTCATGATTCTGAAGAAGAAGATCTCCACTGTACCTCGAGCAACGACTCCGAGCAGGACGATCCTGGTGAGGATTTCGAGAGTGTGCATGAAGCAGACGCGCAAGACGACAATCAAAGCGATGACGATCAAGACTATGGAAGTCAAGAGGACGGCAGCCAAGCGCAAGACGATGAAGAAGATGGCTCCCAACAAGGCTACGGTAGCGAGGAGGCCAACGACGAAGAAGACCGTCGAGAAGACGWCGACAGCTCCTCGGAGTCCGAAGAAGTTTCTTCTGAAGTCTTCAACTCCAGCATGCAGCGACCCGAGCGTAGTGTGAGTTGCACAACGTCCGTCACTGAATGAGTAGGCCCGCTAATGAACACCCAGGCTGCCCACAATGCAGACATGCGCAACTGCCGCAAACGTCTCCATCTGCTAAACCTCCCTCTGGCTATCCGCAACGAAATCTCCATCGCCGTACTCGTTCACACTGCCCGACTGGCTGATGATACAGGGGAACTGCAACAATTCGTTGTTGTCTCTGCCAAGGTCGGCGATCCCGCCAGCAAGGTGCCGTTTTTGAAAGTGTGTCACCAGATTCGCGAGGAAGCCACTCCTGTGTTCTACCTGGCGAATCGTATGGTCATTGAAGTCGAGGACTGGGACGTGACGCCGTTGCTATCGTGGTGGGCGCGCGTCGATCGCATTCGCCAGCAGAACTACCTCGATCTCAATCACTTCACTGTCCTCAAGAACGTCGTGCTAGGCGAGCTTTTCATTCGAGCCAACTACAACCTCAACTGGGAGAACCTCCTCGAATGGTTCCGTCTGTTCCATCACAAACCCATGTTCTGTTTCGATTTTCCGGATATCGAGCACAGCATCGGCGGCTCGAGGGAWCAGTTGATGGTCGTGGTGGCAGCCTTTGAGCTTATGAGGAATGTTGACAGTGAGAGACTGTCTTKGTCTGTCGTCGAGAAGATGCTCAGCGGAACGAAGCTTTTGCTGGGGCAGTGGGATGAAGAAGGGGAGTGGTCGCCAGTGAGAAGCACTCCATCAGTCCAGGAGGAGCAGAGCGAAGATTCTTTCGCCGCGCTTGAAGATACAAGCGATACAGCTTCCCAATCGTTCCAGACGATCACTGAGGAGCTAGATGAAGCGGACCAATACGATACCGGCAGCTTGACAAGCAGTCAGACTCAAGGCAGAGTCTTTCTCTCCGAGGATGAAGACGAAGGCGAGAGCGAGCTGGAAGCCTTCTTGCACGCCACCGCGAGTGAGATCGGCGAGCTTCGCAAGCAGGTGCTGGCGTCGCACAGTGGCTCCAAGACGAAAGTACTTTCGACGGCGACTGACATGATCCATGGCTTTCCCATGCGCCCTACCCGCCCAAGAGGACGTGGCGAGGTGGAGGCAGTCGAGGAGACAAGTTTCGCCAACGCTGCAGCGTTCGACACTTCCACCGAGCCTGCGGCTTATCAGATCACCTGTTCTCCACACGCAGGCCGAATCCAAACCTTTCACGAAGGCGAGGCGAGTCTCGCGAACGGTGTGGCAACCACCTCAGCCAACGCTCAGAAGGTGGTCCAACTGACCTTTGATGGACACCCCCGCGACTTTGCCCAGACAGTTGACCCGGATACTGGCTTGACGTATCTCACCCAAATCAAATCGACCGATCCGACATCCAGGAACCTCTCCCAGCGATCCATCTCACCGACTCCTTCTTCTTCTCAGATCAACTGCTTTGCCCCGTCGCCTATCGTCGATGACACACAATACTCAGAAGACGAAGCGTCCTCAGAAAACGAGCAGCTTCCATCCAAGACGAAGTTGTTCGGAGGAGTTCGCACGGCTTCGCGAAAGCATCAGACTCTCGATGAAGTTCCGGAGACGCCGGAGAAGAGCTCCGTAACTCATACTGGCTCCTGCTCAACATCGCCCATGATGTTACCGCACATCGCCTTCGGACGCAAGACGAGCAAGGTCGCGCGGAGAAACGCCGAGGATGTTCCAGAGGGTGCTGCGATCGCAACTAGCGATGCCCAGAAGCGTCGTGCTTCTTTTCTGGCGGCATTGAAGGCGAGAGACATGGAGATTGGGGAACAGAGTCGGAATCTGATTTCAAGAGGCACGGCTTTTGGCTATGATTGAAGGGAAGACCATGAGATGAGAAGCGTGAGTACCATCTTCCATCGGTTTCTCGAAGCCCATGAGACATGAGATCACGGCGAGGCTTGCAATGAAGGGAGGGCAGAATCACTATCACCCATTTCATTCACAAATGGCCATCCATATGCGCATGGCCAGGGAGGGAGTTTGAGATTCCATGGGGAATGGAAAGGCGTTTTTGAGGGATTTTTGATTTTTGATTTTTGGCAGGGAGTTGGGTGTTGGGAGACTTTGGGCTTGGGCGGAGAAGGCTCGCTTATAGGTGCTGCACTACATAGTTTTGCTCTCTTTGAAAACGACTCACTGTCTTCATTCTGCTTTTCCGTTCTCTATACTCTCCTCTCCTCCCTGTTATGCCGCTTTCACCACTTCACAATGCAAAGTTCATCGAACAGACTCTCACGCCTTCTCCTCAATGGGCTTCAGGATTTAGGGTTAGGGTTGTAGGGTTAGGGTTCTCTTCCCGCATCTGCACAACTTCCACAAACTTTTCCTCCAAAACTCAAAAGCCATATGGGGAGCCTCTGGTCAGGGTATCAAGGCGTATGAATCCTCAATATAATTTCGGGGGAGGTTGTGGTGGTCGAGTAATCACTTACCCCAATCATCTGGAAGAAGCGTCTCCTGAGAGTGGGCAGGCTTGGCGTTTTGTAAGGAGCAAGGTGGTGTCTAATGGAGCGGGTCTTCCTTGGGCGGAATGATCTTCTCTGCGAAGGAGTATGTCTTCCCCCCCCCCTATGAATATGCGTGATGTGCTGTAAAGCGTTTCGGTTCGGTTTTTCACCGGATGTCCTTTGCAAGAGAAGCGTCCCACGAGCTCGCTCATAGGTCTTTCAAGAAATGGCATGTAAAACAAAGTGACCATCGATATCCTAACGTAAAAACCCCCTGCGATAGTCACAGAGAGGTCCACAGACCACTGGTCACATATCAGCACGTCGAAATAACCGCTTGCTAAACCTATTCATTGGAAGCCAGAAAGCACCCCCTGAAGCCAAAAAGCTTGGCATTCTTTCGCGGTCGGTCTTGAGACAAGGATGTTATGGATATGGAAAGACTTTCGAGCCGCTGATAGATGCTTCTCCATGATATTTCGAGGACTTGTGTGGGAATCTCTGGATATATCTGGATTGGGTGAGAGGCCAACAGGTCTTTTGCCGTAGCTCTGCTAAGGATTGAACGGGAGGTTAGGGTTAGGGTATTTGACATGCATCGCTTTGGACTTTTGAGAGGAGTTGCAACTTTCTCTGCTGTATAGCCCAACGGCATGAATCCTCAAAGATCTCCGGGATCAGTGGGCTCAATATATCCGAGACACCTTTGCCTGCTCTGCTTTTGTTCTACGGATCAACGAGTAGTGCTGCTTTTTAGTGGTCGCCCAGCTCGCATAATACCAATGAAGTGATTTTCAGCCATCAGCAGGAGTCATTCATAGGTTGCGCCCAAAAAGCCTGCAGATCTCCATCCTTAAACCCCCATGTCCAAAGTATCTCCACTTACAAGCAGCGATCTCAAGTATCTCAACGTATGAGCAGCTAATTCAGCTTTTCAACTTACTCTAGCTGTTCATTAAACGACGAAAAGCAAGCTGTTGAGMGCAGAGATTGATTGACCTCACGGCTTCCAGCGACTTCTTCACACTTAGTTTGTCAATGGATTGTTCACGGGTGGATGGCCGTCGGCAGCAGTCCATATATCCACTGCGGCGAGCAGAATAGATCCAATGATCGATGTTAGCAAGTAGAAAGGCGCGCTATCATACGGGAGATCAGGAGGCTTGCTGAATGCCTTCCAAACCTCCGGAGGCAGCATGGAACTGCGAATGCCCTCTCAGAACAACCATGGCATTAAAGGTGTCGGATAGGATGTTCGTTTGCAAGGCGCCTGTGGCTCTGAGGGAGAGGGAGAAAGCAGAGATGAGCTCGAGTTTTATCGATATCTGTGAGTATTTGATATTCCCAATGCGCCAAAAAGCGCCAATAGGCGTCAGCTGGTATTCTTCAACTCGCTTGCTATCTCGAACCCGGTGACCTTGGTCAACGAGTGAGAAGCCTATGAGCTTGCAGAGTGTGGAAGAAAGCCATGGAGTTCAAAGCATTCATGAACCGTATTTGAAATCTCATCCAGAACTCCACAGCGTTCGCTTAATCCATTCCGAAATCAGGAAGGTCAACATCCTGCAAGAAATTCCACAAAGCCTGCTCTCCCACTTCTAAATGACCCAAAGCGCCCATACGATCCCACTCCCAAGCCGCTCGTTCCCGCAACTGTCTCTGCCGCTCAGCCATCACCCTTCCCAAGTCCCCCTGCTCGTCCGCAATAGGCGCCCCAAGGGGGCGACCAAGCCACTGGTCGATATTCCTCGGCGGCTGCAAGATGTCCGGCTGATCCATAAATTCAACCAGCGCGTCTAATCGAAGGCGCATTTCCTGAGCTTGCTCAATAATCGCATCCATAGCTCCTGGGGCTTCCGCTTCTGGCAAGTGTGTGGTGCCGTAGCGTGGACATGAGGTTGGACCGCGATTACGCCAGTGTCCACTGCTACCCTTGGCCGGTTTACCACAGAAGAAGCAGAATTCAGTTCTGCAAGCTGAGACGGTGCAGATGACGTGGTTGCATCCGTCTTTGAGAGTTACGAGGATTCCACAGCCTTCTCCGGGACAAACTTGCCATTCCTTTCCGCGCGTTTCTTCTGGAAGTTGATGGTCGTTGGGATCGCCCAGTTTCTTGCATTTGTGAGGACGAGATAGGAGCGCGCGGATTCTGATGTATCTGACTATCTTGCAGCAGCTCATGCAGGTGGTGGAATGGCATTCTTCGCATAAGACGAGGAATTCTTCCTTGGAAATGTGTCCAAGAAAGGCGCTGCATTTCGCGTTGTTCGAGCAGTAAACTCGATGTTTTGGGAGAATGGCATACTCGTTGCCCTTTTTGATGTAGGCGTCGATGAGCTCACCGGGGAGGAGGTGGGAGTAATCGAGGATGTTGAGGATTGTACGGCCAATTGTAGGTGGATAGTCGGCTTCATTGACCAGGGCAGACTCGAATTGAGGTTTGATCGAGCAGTCGAAACACTCACGGCAGATATCGTCGCCGGCCATGGGAATGCGCGCCTCGAGCGCCTGGAATTCGTCTCCGCAGCCAGTGCAGTGGGTTGGAGGCATAGTCGACATATTACTAGCAACGTCCAGGAGTTTGCTGGAAGAAGCGAGGATGTTGCTGGAGGAGGTGATGTCTGGCGTGTTATACTTGTCGCGGAATTGGACCGCGATGGTCATGGAGGCCGCTAGTCGGGCTGCTTAGTCATGCATGTGAGCGGGAAGACGCCCAGATTTACGGCTTTCGAGCAGTAGTGAATGTTGTTCTCAAGATGATGCATGTGAGAGCATCTGCCACTCCTGAGATTCGTTCAGGTCGTTTCAACCCCTTATTGACATTCAGCGCTCCTACATGCCTCCTTACCGCCACAGTTACCCCTTTCGCTCGAGGTTGACAATCATTCTATGCAGAAGATGAGAGATACGCTCAGCAACAGGACACCCTCAGGACTACGACAGCTCCAAACATTGGCGGATGAGTCAGCTAAGGGCGGCAAACGTTAGTCTTTGCTCCCACTTCTTGCTTCAAGAGTCAAGCCTTAGGAGCTTCAGCTTGTTCTAAGCCAGGCAAGTGGTTACTAGCACGACGACAGGTTCTTCGAAGGAGAATTCTGATGGCAARTCGTCTTTGCCAACCCCAAGTAGAAGCTAGGACCGATACTATGTCTTTACACCTCGACAGTGTTGCCGAGCGTCGGTAGTATCAGAGCTGTCGATACGGGACAAGACATCCTCATTCATCCCCAAAATGGCCCAAGGACTCACTCTCTACWGGCTCGACGATTCTAGGCCTGCTAGAATCCTTACTACTAGCAGAGTGGCAAGTTAATTCAATCGAGAGAGCAGTTCGGGGCGCTACTCTGTTGATGATCTCTCATCTCGACAGCTCTGGGTAGTACATGGATTCTTCGATACTGACAAAGACGACAAAAAGGTGAGATACCGGCTGTCTGGCATATTCCACCTCTTCGCAGAGCTTGAACATGTAGCAAGCAGTTGGTGCCTGGTAAAGCCTACAACCACAACCTTCTACGAGTTGACATCGAATCACACCACATACTCACTCATGCGGCCGTGAAGACACGGCAGCGATCAATGGAGCGACTTCTGGAGGTTTCTCGATCTGCCATTGCTCCCATCACGACATGCCTTCCGATGACTGAATGGTACAATTATCCTGAGAAGGGCACCGATATGTGGGGACAGAAGAATGGGTATCCTTGTTCCGACTGGACATCTGGAGGCTATCATCAAGCCTGGAAGAGATATGCACAGATAGGCTCCACATTCTGAGATATCGAAAGAGAGCAACGCGAAGGATTCCACAAGTACTCGACTGTTGTGCCGCACAACAAGCACCGCCTGTAAGAAAGCGCCCATGGATCTCAATGCCGCACTCCTCATCCACAACAGCTAAGTACAAAATTCCGAAGTTGGGTGCAAGTTCTCGGGAGGCGGCGGAATGATGGGGTGCGAATACCTGGCAGCCAGAGAATTCGCCATTGTACCAGCCAAACCACAGAGACCTTTGTCTTCAAGGCCTCACGACCCTGGCGGATTCCTTGCTGAAGGAAACATGCTTGCCCGCGCTGCTGCGCAGTCCCGAAGGACGGACAGCGCTCGTCGACAAAGCAATCTCATCAGCTGGACCTCTCTGATGCCGCTTCGTGCTCGCAGAAGACACGGATTTTCGCTCGCATGTCTGGTAGTCTCAGGTCATTCTCTCTACAGTATTGACATTCCTGGAGCCGCTGAATCCCTTACTACCAGCAGAGTGGTCCGTCATTGTACGGAGAGGATAGTTGAGGACACGGATTTGAAAGTAATGCAACCGGAGACAGCTTGAGTTTGCACATTCATGTCAAGGACATCCGTCCTCGTTCCAGGTGTCATCCCTGGCCAGAGGCTAGAGCAGATTCCTCCTAAGCCACCTACTTCTGGGCTGTATGTCGCCTGTCCCTCAACCCCCACTCTCGATATCGACCGTTGACAACCACAGCAACTCTTCCATGTCCGATCAAGCGTTCCAGTGAGTCGTCTACCACAGGTTTCAATCCCGCGACGTGCGTCGTAAAGCGAAGGGAGGTTTTCAATCCTCAGGCTTGTTGACAGTCGACACCTTCCCTAAGGACCTCCGGGTCGACGTACTAGATCCGCCGAACGTGTAGATTCAAGTCCTCGATGAGATGCTCGCAAATGACGCCCTGGATTTCTGGTGGGAGTGCGAGTGAGGCGCTGCGAGATGTAATCTTTGATGTTCGGACGAATGGAGCGGCAGTCGACCGGCATAAATGTATGTATGAGCTCGGATTCCTGATGAGGAGCGCCACTGGAAACGGTGACGGGCAGTTAATGTTTGAAAACCCCAAGCTCCATCTCCGTCTCCTAAAAGACATGGAACACTTACAGCACAAGGGCCATGTACACGCGGTCCCGGTCCCTGGGAGCTGTGGGTGCCGGCCGCCATGCGATCACGCGCAGCAACCATCATTGCGATGTCCTACATAGAACGGGGGCCACTAAGTGGCGTTATAGTCACAGATTCGCTATTGCGGGCTGCTTCGTTCTCCTGGTTACGGAGGGAGATGTTTATGGAAACAGACGCGATGCTGAGGATATGCCCTGCGCGGATCGCAGCGGGGTCGCCTCTACATAGCTTATGCAGGCGGTCACGGCGTGCGGACATGGTAGAGTATACGGCTTTATTAATAGTCGCTTCGATGCGATCTATCTCTACCCGTAACGCATCCTACAGACGAACTAGCTAGTTCGCCCGTCCTTACACGTATTTGCCTAGCTAAATCACAAGATTAGCATAGCATTCGCATAGAGATAGAAACCCGCGACTTACTAGCTCGCATTCTTTGCGAGTAGTTAAGTTGTAGAAACGGTAGGCCTTGCAGTATAGGTTGTTGTAGATGCGCATTTCTCCTATGGACTTCAGGCAACGACGGCAGCCTACGTACTCCATCGGAGCATCCTCGTCCAACGCCGCCTCATCCCACAGATAATGGGTCTCCTTGTCAAGGTCGGCGAACCCTAATTATCTCATCAGGACAAGGCATCCTCAGTCAAGTCCATAATATCCTGAGGCCTTGCTCTCTACAAGCTCGATGATTTGAAACCTATTGGAATCCCTGCTACTAGCAGTGTAGCCGTCAATCAGTTCAGAGCGCTGCTCTTGTTAATGATGTCTCAGATCGACAGCTCTGGCTACCAGCTGGAAGTTTTGCTCACTGGAGTTGTTAGGCTCTCGCTCTCTGTCGAACTCCACTGGTTGACGAGGTTTTTGCATACTAAGGATAGGCAGGTCTGCGGAGAGCGAGGTTTGAAGATGGCCAGGGGAGAAAGGATCTCGTACCGCTCTAATCTTTCCTTTCTTTCCAACATGAGCAATGCATTCGGAAGTGCTACTCTACACACCCTTGAACATACCCACACTCTTCCTACTATAAGCAACCACCTTCGGAAACTCACTCCAATCAGCATCGAACAAAATGGCGTCCTGACATGCACTACCAAGCCCAGTATTATTCAACCACGCCGGCTCCCAATAATTGATTCCCTGTCCAAGACCATCAGGGATCCTACAAGGCAGTCAGCAAATTTCCCCTAGAAACAACATGGCCAAGGTTGAAAAATCAAGCATGAACTCACTGCTTAACAACATCAACAACCTTCCCAACCCACTCCAACTGCCCATCAACAGAAGCAACAATACCCGGCTCACTCAAACTCGGAATCTCATCCCCAGTACAAATCGCCGGCCAATCAGTCTCAACAATATGAATAGGTTTCCCAAACTTCTCCGCAATCCAATTCACGGAATTTTTCAAATTCGCCAGCGTAGCAGCAGTACCGTAAAACGGGTAGATACTAAATCCAAAAACATCCCAATCCGAAATTTTAACTGTACCAGTCGCTAGTAAAGCGCTGAACCAGCGCTGTTGAAGTCGTAAATCATAGCCATTATCAATGTGGATCATGATCTGCGGTTTCGATATCCCGGTACGGATGGCATCATCTACTCCTTTTCGTGCAGCGGTGTAGAGAGTTGCAAGACCAGTGAAATTTGCAATGCGTGCGGATTCGGGTTCGAGGTTCACGCTGACGCGACCCAAGGGCCAGAGCATTCCATTGCGGATTTCGTTTCCGAGGCTCACGAGTGCGAGATCTACGCCGGCTTGGTGGAAGGTTTGTAGAGTGTTGGAGACGTAGCTACGTAGAGTCCTGGCGAGTGGAGGGAGAGTTTTTGGCCAAGCGATTGGTTGGGCTTGTTTTTGTGGGTCGGCCCAGTAATCTGAGAAGTGGTAGTCTAGGTAGATTTTGTAACCTTTTGCGTGGAAACGTTGCGCTAGGGATACTGTGTAGTTGAGATTATATGTCTCGTAGTCTGTTGCGAATGGTCAATTTCGATCTGTCCGTCAATTGGCTTGGGATATGCGTACATCCTGGTGGGCCATCGAAGGGTATCGTGGGGTTCACCCATAGCCTTAGTCGAACAGTATTCATACCACCATCGCCTAGGATATCTTCGACTGGTCGGGTTGCGTTGCCACGAGCAGTGTCCTTGTAGGACGCTCCGCCATCTTCGAGGATCTGCAACGAGGAGAGGTCGTGACCTTTGTAGAAGAAAGGCTTCTTGGATGGCGATGCGATGACCACCGCCGACAGTGCAACCACTAGGTATGAGTAAGCTCGCATCGTTCGGCTTGATTTGAAAGACTTTTGCCAGACGTGGGGATCGGAGGCTCTGTTCAATCTTTAAAAGTGRAGTGCTTCACATATAGACAGGTGAACTGGAGATCACTTGCTAGCTCCGGCATGGTGTAGATACTATTTCCCACCAATTAGGATCGAAGCCATGCACTTGCCGGCCTTTACCATCCTTGCAAAAGAGGGGAAATCGGGCCACCATTGTGAGATTCCTCCACATCCCGGGAACTGATCCTTGCTGCAGATCCGCATCCTTTAGAACGATGTAGGAATCCGTCGGTGATACCTTTGCAATCACCTTGCTTTTGGCGACGTTGACTCTTCCACTCCGAGAGCCCTCTCAYAATTCAGCATTCAGCGTCGAAGATGCTCCGCATCTTGCGGGTTCTTGTCAGATCTTTTTCCATGTCACTGGGTTGAGCACAAAGATCCTGTCCCATGAATGTCCTGGTCCTGGGAATGTCTCTGACCSGCACTCAAAGTAGAGCCAAAGCTTTGTCACAGTTGTAAAGTATCGTGGACATGATATGGGCAATGCCTTGGCGTGAGGGAAGTCCATACCTGTCGCATTCTTCCTCGGCAGTGCATTTCGCATGTCCTTGGAGGTGAAGACTTTGAAAAGGCAGACGATGGTCTAGAGGGAACTGCCTGAAATGGCGAAGAGAAGCTGAGGAGTAACTTGGCGGAGCGAGGGTGTCATGATTAGGAGCTCGTAGGTCACCTCTGGGTCTCAGGAGGAAGCTGGGGTAAATGGAGCGGTAGAACTGGATGTCGTATTCATCGTTTTCGAGAAGTTGATCTACAGAAGCGCGGTCAACTTCCAACGAGCGATAGTCCTCACTTCGTGGCCTGCCTGAGACAGCTGGCGAACGACAGTGGACCCAAGGTTTCCTGTGCCTAAGGTGGCAACGTTGATGGATTGGATTGCATTTGCCATCAGGGACGATGTTCCACTCATGCTTGCTTTTGGCGGGAGCAGAAGACGGTGGAATTCAGAAAAGAAAAAAAGAAAGTCTGGTACTTCGACCTGAGAGTTCTCTATTCCGGGGCATATGCTGTCGACGGCGAATCATAATTTCAGAGGCATCCATTGATTGATTCCATCGCGCCTTCCATAATGAGCAGTCCGTGAGGTCTCGGCCGTCTTTCCGTCGATTTCGCGAGAAGATCATCCCGAAGGAGGAGGGAGCACTCGATGCTGGGAAGATACTGTCCATGGGCTGGCTAGTCATACATTGACCATGTCCGCCGTCAAGCCTGACATTGATCGACCTCACTCTGCACTGAGCCACATTGTTGGGTTCCATTCTCGACAGGGTATGCGCCGCCAGTCAGCTTCCTAGTGATGCAGCAAATATCTTCGTGAGACGACAGACGGATGCTCGCGCTGAGCGGAGTCAAAGAGCGGATCTTCAAGGCTGAGGGACCCAATATTCTCCGGTCGAAATCTCGGTCTCGACTTCTGGCTCGCACATCCCCAAGGACGTACCGTGCTGTTCCTGCTGGCAGGGGACTTCGACCTGTGTTCTGAGAGCTAATGTCATTATGCGATTGCCGCATGCCGGGGAATATCCAAAGAGCACACTTTCAACAGAAAACCTTCGAGCAATGAACTTCTTCTGCATGGGCCCAGCGAGTAGCTGACAAAGCACAAAACACAACCATCCGCCCGCATTCCTCACTTCCCATCCACCTCACCACTCCACAAACCACCACCAAAATGTCCACCACCCCCTCCCCCGCCGCCATAATCACCGCAATAACCACCTTCTACGCCGAAATCGCGAAACAAACCCACATCAACGAGTTCGACCTTAAATACCCACCCCCCACAGGCTGGCCCACCATCGACGTCGCAGGACTCCTCGCAAGCGGAAAAACCGAATCCGTAATCCATATCCTGCGCCACATCCCCTACTTCGAACTCTGGTGGAAAAATGCCAAAGTCCTCGCCTTATGGGACGCGACTCCCATAGATTACACGAGACAACGAGGACCGGGGTTCATGGATGTTACTGTACATCTCCCGGGCCATTGTGTGCATTTGACCGAGATGAATAGTATGTGGGGGTATAATCTCATCTTGGATGTTGAGAACGGTGCGTACCAACCTCCAATCCCCCGAGACTCAAAGACCGACCACACACAGCTAATCCATCCGGGTCGTGACATATAGGAACAATAACAGAATACAGCACCGTCTCCCCAAACTCCAACCCCCTCATCTCAGAAACCCTCCCCCAACCTCAAAAATGGCTCGCCCACACCCCGCAACCAGTCCTCTGGTATTTCGAAACCCAAACAAGACTCTACGCTCGTCTCATCCGCATGATCGTTCCAAAGGATTGTGGCGAATGGGTAGGAAAATTATTGTCTCGTACTGAATCGACGAGAATCACGATGGAATTGTTGACGGATGATTGGCCGTTGGAGGAATGGAAGCCTGATGAATTTGAGATGATGAAATTGGTTGTTGAGGGGGCGGGGTGGGAGAGGGTTGAGGGGTTGTGGTATGCGGCTGTGAGTTGATGTGTTGTTGATTTCTAGTGGGTGTGGTGGAGGGCTAATTTGGATGGCAGAATGTTTTCAATTGTCATTTGAGACATGGGTGGCCGGATGCTTTTGATAAGGATGCTTGTCGATTGGAGCTGGTTGCGATGGAAGATTTCCGTGATGGGAATAGGATGATCGAGTAGAAGGGGATTCGGTGGTCTGGATGGAATGGCCGGAAATTCAGGCTGGGGAGTGGAAGTATCTGTTCCGGGCAATGGATGTAGAGCTGCTACTGAGTATCGTTACATACTCGTAGCCGGCAGTGTATGCATCAAAGCATTTGTCAATACCCGACTCCTAAAGTTGTAGGCATTCAAGACCCATGATCCAATGATGATTTCTCAGGGCTATCTCAGACTACCACCCGTCCAAATGCCAACCACCCAGAAACCCTTGCGAGTCCAGACAAGACACCTCACATCCCATCGAAGAATCTCATCCAATCTCACAACCCCGTAGCCATCCACCTGCACCAAATCAGTATCAAGAGCACATCAGTCCAAGACATCACATACCATCCACCACCCAACATTCCAAAAATCATCGCCACAGTCAAACAAATGGCACCAGTCTTCTCCTTCTTGCTGATATAAGACAAGGGTTTGGTAGGTTTATCCGTTCCAGTTCCTAGACTTGCGTCTGGGGTACCCATGCCACCGTGATGTTGATTGACGGGTGGTTTGACGTGCTCGACGAGATTGGAGATGAAGATTTCGAGAGCGGACATTTGTTGTCCTACGCCGGTGAGGCCGTCATAGGTGCCGTTTGTTGTCCATTTCAAGCCGCAGTCTGATGCAGTGGGTCCGCCGATGCAGGAAGCTGCGGCTGCTATTGCCGAGGCTGCAAGGTAGGGTTTGGTGATGGCGTCTAGCCAGGGCGCGTTCTTGACGGCAGCGGCGATGAAGCGAGAGTAATAGGCCTTGAAGCTGTGAGGAGGTTAGAAAGTAACGCATCAAAGAAGCGCACGCTTCACATACCTTTGCTGGTCCAGATTACAATTTCCATCCTGGCCGATAGGCTCGCATGCAGACTCGTACATTGTCAGGTTCTTGTCGAAAAACGCGGCTGCTGATGCATTCCAGACTCCATCAACGCGGTGCTTCCAAGTAGCATCCTCAGTCTCGTTCCACATGACTGCAGCAGTGTGAAGAACGAGGCCGGCATTGTAGCTCCAGCGTGTGTGGTCGAGTTCTGTACAGTTCAGGTTGGCGTCGCTACCATCAAAGACAAGGTAGTCAGGCGATATCAGGCCGATGCTTTCCATCCAATCCCAGGATTGGATAGCATAGTCGCGGTAAGTCTCATTGCCGGTGTAGGCATACAGCCGCGCTCCCAGGTTCATGAAGCCCGCGTTTGATGGAGTGTTCTTGTAGGTGTAGCCTGTTCATCTAGATTAGTAGCGACTTCAAGATCGACAAGGAAGAACTTACCGGGATTGAGGRTCAGAATCTGCCATCGAAGCCCGCCACCGCATGTCAGCGTATCCCACCTGGTGACTTGAGTATTCCACACCGCCTGTGCCATTGCGATCCAGGAAGGATTGCCGCTGGGAGGCTCGGGAAATGCGTATTCGGCAGCGCTCATGACCGTAAAAGCCCAGAATGCTTGATCGTCGTTTCCTTCATCCTTTGTCTGGTTCGGAGGCATGTAATTGTATCCGTCGGATGCCTGGTGAAGCATGGCCTCGGAAGTGATGGTGTTGTATTGAGAGTCTCCGGTGAAGTGCCAGTAGTCGATGAGGCTGCCAAACATGCCGCCGGCTTCCCACCAGTAGTATGGGTCTGGAAGGACTCCCGGAGAGCCACCTTGTTCGTGGCCAATGTAGTAGGAAGTCATGCGGCCAGCAACGATCTTGGCGGCGTTTTTGATGGATTCTGAAGAGAATTAGTGGCGAGTTGAGTCTTTGGATGCGCAGAATTCGTACCCGTGTTGTTGACATCGAGAGAAATGGCGATGGTGGTGGTGATGTAGGCCACCACCAAGGCGGAAATATGCATATAATGCATCTAATATTGCTGCGAAAGAAGGCAAAGCAATGTTGATGTCCTGGTCTTGAAGCGGAGTGAGTCAAACGGAAGCCACCTCTGGGCTTGTTTGCGCTTTCTGCGGCTGTAAATGGACCCCGTTTTGTTCATCCGACGACATTTCCTCTTCAAGCTTTCCCACGTAGACTCCATGTTTCGAACGAACGGTACAGCTGGTACTGCCTCAGTCAACAGACTCCAGACAAGAGAGTGAATAATTCGGGAAATATACTTCCACGGGCCAAATGATGAGCGAGAGACAGCATTTGCCTTGCGCAGCGGATTTACTGGCCCAAATCAAGCGATCGTCCTACCAGGGACGTCTTCTTCCTTCTCGAATAGCCACGCGTGGCAGAAGACTATACGACAGTAATGAAGGCCAACGCCGATTTTATCTGAGCTGCAGTCCTCAATCCTCCGAGAGCGGCCTTGCTGCCCCAATGCCGGTGCAGCGATGGGTGGGTCTTTGGCTGCCAAATCTTTTGTCCTGGGCTTCATGGAGCGTACGATGCGATCCATCCCGGCTATGCGGCGGGACAACATCCATCCTTCACTTTAGGCGACCAGTGCCGACGGTACTACCTCAGTTGACAAGTCCCTTCCACAAAGCAGAGACTGGGTGCAGCTACCTTTTCAACTTGCGCAGCGATCTTACTTGCCGAAAAAAGGCATTACTTCTGAACATACGACAGTCCTCCGGGATATGTTGCATATCGATACCGAGCTGTATACAGCCAGCAGTCCAACATCGGGCTCTACCGCTGTCAGCGAACAGTGTCGCTCACTATCCTCACGTTCTGGACCAGCTCGTCTAGGATACGTACTCTGCGACCTCCAAAACGTTGATGAACCGATGCTTCCTCGCGATCTTCTCACCAATRACCCAGCTTCTATCTTACTTTCACACGGCTCCTACTAGAAAAGACGGTGAGCATCAAGGAAATAAAGTCAGTGACGGAACTGGAATGTGTCATTTTCATCATCTATCTAACTGCTCGGAATTGCCTGTGCCCGGTGCAGCTCTGAGCCACGGGCCCTCTATACACTAAACCTAGAAGAGGTCTGCCCTAGGCTGGCCTGCATGCGCCACCCATGTGATCCGGATACTCCAGAGCTTGATGGTGTAGTGTTTCCGTTGAGATAGGCTTCGGTCTGTGGGATGATCGCACATTGCCTGACCGATTCCTTCCGAAATCTTCCGGGTTTACCTTCAGCTTGGACGTTGTCCAAGGATCTCCATTAGTTGCGGAACTTATCCCCACAGGAGCGCGTATATCTACATGATCCCTACCACTACTGTCGCACGGGAGAACTTCCGTTCCCGGACTCTGCAAGGCGGGCGGCTTTCAAGACAGAAGCAGCACACTTCCAATACGACGAACGAACCGGTCGACTGCTTTATTGAAGATGCTAAGGACAGCCGTGGACCTGTGCATGTTGAAGACAGAAGTCGGGGAATTGCTACGAAAGGTACATGATTAACAGAGGCACTTCCACGCAGACATTACTCTGAAGAAATTGGAGACGGTCTGGGGGGGCCAAGTATTGCCCGTGATATGAGGACCTACATTCTAAGCTGCATCCAATGTTCAAGGCACGCAAACCGCACACAACCGAAATATCAATTGCCGGCAACAGTCGTTGGTCCATGGCAGTTGTTTGGCGTGGACTGGAAATGACCCTTTCCGGCGACACTGACCCTCGCGGCAGCCAGTATACCCTCCACCTGATCGACTGTTTCTCTCGCATGTCCTTGAAGGACAATGGAGTTAGCAGGCAGCGGATTGGAAGATAGCTTGTACGACACGGGCCGAACACTGCCTCTATTTGTCTAGCGGGCGCTAAACCATGGCTTCGAAATCACCCACAAAGGATTATTCTGCTGGATGCCAATGCAATGGACCACTCTGCAAGGATTATCGCCTCTGCTCGTACCCGTTTTTTCAGGTGCTCTTACGTGGGCGTCCTGGGCGACAACGAAGACGAGGCATCTTGAAGTCGCCAGAAGCATCACGAATCCGCTCTCTCAGACTAAGATACTCTATTTCTCGCCCAACACTCGACTCGCCCTGTTACAACCCACTCAAAGCCCTGCCATCTCGAGGGCGTTACCCGCGCGTCGAGAGCCTCCTCCCACGACTCGGCCGCGACACTTGACGGGCGAGAAGCATCGACATCTGCGACAGAATTTGAAATTCGGAACTCGGGTGAGAGCTCAAAGCGCGATGCCTTTGTTCGGGGAGGGTGAAGCGGCTTACCACCCACTCGTCTTGCTGCCCTCCCTTGCGCGTCTCCCTGAAACTTCTTTTGCAAGGCCAGTGCTACCTAGCTGCGACAGTGCGAGCCAAGCAAGAGACGCACACAAGACTCGATGTGGGACGTAGCGGTACAAGGCCATTGTCCGCCATCTCGTGTACCCTCGAGGCCCTTTCCGCTCACGGACTTCCTCCGGCTTTTGTACAGCACCGGGAYATCATTCTTACGGTGATCTACCGTCTACGAATCACTGCTTCATTGGCTTACCAGCCAATATGCCCTTGAGTACGAGCTTGATACTCATACGGGACTCAGGGGTGCCATCGAGGGGAGTCTGGCCACTCATTATTATGAAGATGTGGAAGACAGAGGCAAGCTGCCTATTTCTCTCGGTTGGTGAGCCGCATTCCTTTTCCTTGAAGAACACGAACCAGCTCGTTATATAACCCATGGGGCTCTTCATCCGTCATATAATCACCTTTCCACAACCAATTGCGGCTCATCCAATGAGTAAGAGACGCCAGTTTCCACCATCTCGTGATCTCTGAAGACCTCGAGAAATGACGACGGCGCGGGACCGCAAGATGCCGAATCGTCATTTCAAGGACTGCCTTTCCCATACGGGCATCTCTTTGCAACTTTGATGGGTGTATCGACTGTCAGAGACGCTATCAATCGGGCAGCCTACGCGGATACTACATCTACATGTCGCATGGAGGGAACAAGGGCTACACGCTGCGTCTCGCAATCGGTTCATTCGCCTCTGATTCATTGCTTTCCCACGTTTATCCTAGACATATCATGCTTTCATGCGGACTTCTGCTTYTACCGGCCTACACTGTAGCAACGAACTTCGCCAATGGTGAGCCTCCGAGTAAAGTCATGTCTCGAGGCGGCTTCAAATTGGACGGAAACTGCCGCGCACCTACGAATCAAGCCATTCCCATGCTGCAGAAGCCTGGGCATCTCGATCTCTTGAGAACCTCGAGACGACGAGTGATCTCTATGAGAACATGTATTGTCACAACAGCTCGAATACTAGGCTTGCGGGCGACAAGGAGATGCAACAGCAAGCCATCCTGAGGGGGAGAACTCAGCGGAGGCTACTTTGCTTGCTCCATTTTGCTCTTGGATCTTTCAATGAGCTCTTACGTCTGGCTGCTCAATTTCAGGTCTTCATTCCTGCTCAAGGTGAGGAGCAGGCCGGATGCAATGTCTTGAATGGAAATGTGGCTGACGAACACCAACGAATGTTAGTAAAGCAAGAAGATCAGTGGAGGCGCCGGGTAGTGATGAATGGGATCCATTCGCATTCCTGATGCTTCCTTCACCATTTTGGATCCTTCTTATTCCTTTTGCTTCGGCTCGCGGAAAAGTTCTCACTCGGCATTCGGATCTGAGCCATGCCATAAGGAAGGCGACGAATCTTGAATTCAATCAAACTCATGGCGTCTCCTCGTCTACAGCAGGCCATTTGATGGCCACGCTCCCTCGCCAAATCGCCCTCACTCTTTCCGCCCATCTCCACTCGACGTATCCAAGGTTGATTGAGCATGATGCTGTGCCTCCCCCACCGACTATCGACGACTCGGATGTGGCATGACCAAAGTTATTCGCAGCAAAACAACCTCATGACTTGATCCTCGTACAGCTAAAGCACGTTGCGAAGTCCCGTGGTCTAGCAAATGCTAGGGACCCATTACAACCTGCTTTCCACCTTCTTTTCGCTTGCATTCCTGCTGTTCTTGCATCTTCMTGATTCCCTGTTCAGCACACTTTCCACCTTCGCGAACAGTGGCGGAACCTCGTCCTGAAACGATGCCAAGGCTCGGCCGAAGCGAATTACAAGGCGTCCACAAGCAGTTTGGTGAGGATGCATTTCTCTCACTGCCACACAGTTGGAGTGGAGGCACAGCACTTCCAACAATATCGTACGCTCTAAAGTGCCGCGGATCACAGGTTCGGTGATCCATGTTTGCCCATCTCACACCGTTGGACCCTGCTTTGCCTGCTGTTCCCAGAAGCTTCTGTTGAAGGATTATTGTCCATCGCTTCGATGTCTAGGACTGAATTTTGGAAATCAAGCTGTTTGCCGACCTTTCATTTGGCCGCTCGCGAGCTCCCGGCGGCGGTACTTGGGTTCGATCAAGATCATTTCAATGCTCGGAATTTGATTGATACAGCACAATGAACGATCGTCTACAGCTGTATCGATCCTAAACATCGAGCAAACCTCAGCGAGTAGCATCGTCGAGCTACGTACATCCGGTTCCAGCGGAGAGAGGCAGCCGGCGAGGATATTGCCAGCATTCTCGCAGAAAAGCAGTTAATACTGCCAAATCCACTGCGCAGTGCATTATAGAGCTCCCGGTCATCAGATGTACTTCCTCTACGGCATTCGCGCTGCTCAACTTCGGCCCGCTCCTGGGATCAACCCTGAATCTCTTACGGCTGGGGTTGATGGTATGCTTCCACTTCACACCTGTATACAAGAGTTGTAAGAACACCATTCAGGTTCAATGTGTGCGGGTATGGCTCACTCAGCTGATGCAGCATCGTACATCTTCCCGGTGAGTTCAGCCTCCCCCGTACGCTGGTCTTGAATTCGACACTTACATACCCCATCTGGAATCTTCGCGGAGAGATAACGTTTTCTGGTAAAAGAGTAGAAAGAAGGCTGGCTTCTCGGCCTCCACAAAGCGGCAACGATTTTCGACATCATCGTCGCCTTTTGATAGAAGTTCCCGAAACTGGGACACCCCGTCTCAGAAGCTCCTACTTCTCAACATCCTCCGTGTTCTTATCGTATCCTGCTCACCACTCGGCTAGTTCGTAGCTCGGAAAAATGATGCATGCAGTGGAAGATACGCTTGAACACTTGATATTCGCCATGGTACGCCACAAAAGCGCCTCTTCATGGGAACCTGTCCGCCAGGTTTGAGTATTCCGATCCCGATATCTGCATCGAAGAACTTCAACTTCGCGTGTGAACCAAAACCGAAAACATGAGAAAGTCCAGCTGCTTCGTGACGGTCTGTATACAGCCCTGGAAGTACGCCCTCCCGGGGCTTTCGAGACCTGGAAAGAGACGCGATCTTACTTACTCATGACGCTTCGGAGAATATCTCGCTCAAACTTCCTCCGTGGCATGCTGCCGTTCTGCTCACCAACAGGGTGTGGTGGACGTGATCTTCATGGGCGGACCATCTTCTTAAACGCGGTACTTCATGCATACTCGCTCGACTTTAGGGAGTTGCGGAAGCGAAGCCCAAATCTAACCCTAATCGAAAAATGTCCCTGAGCCGGAGACTCGTGGCTTGTTAAATGAAGTCAAARGCCGTGCTTAGCATGCATAGAGTGTTGGAGAGCATACGACTGATCAAAGAACCGCAGACACAACGGCAAGGCAAGTCGATATTTGCAGTCGTGGCTTCCAGATTCGACGTGAATTAGCCCCTGAATGCCTTTAGCACCGGCGCACTGTGCTGGAACTTGAGAACCAGGCGGATAATATCAGTCGTGTACAACTCGACAGACCGACAAAGATCTTAGGCTTGTCATTCTCTTCTGCGGGAGCTCAGACACCGGCGGTCTCGCATTCGCTCAACTGCCACCTGTACTGCAGGGAGCACCAGAAGACACTGTGAAAACTCGCGAAGTGAGACATGGAGAGCAAGCGATTGTATAATCTCTAGCGAAAGGCGAGCAAGGAGAAGAATGCGATGACGGAGGCGCACAAGGCCGTGAGGGAGCGAGTTGAGCGAGTGCACCAAATGGCTAGGAACGTTCGAGCAGGATATGCTAGGCAAAGCTTCACTCCTTTTAAGTTTGCTCTGATCCGGTATGATCCCTCAGTTATCGCCTACCTTTGAGCGCCGCGCAAGAGCAGTGAGTCTCTTCCTTCTTGTCAACTAGCTTGTTTATATGCACCGACTAACGACTTTCGTGCCTCGTTACAGTGCTCCGAGGATGTTCCCCCGACAACGCCTTGGTATCGAGCGTACAACACGGGCATGAAAGCCAGCGAAGCCATCATCCGTGTCCGTGGAGGTGAACACACGAGTTTTCTCTCGACGCATCCACGACCCTATCGCAGCATTTGTTCTTTCCATTTTGATCACATAAGTCGAGGACCTTCGAGCTGCTCTCGCCTGCAACGAGATTTCCTGGCTCCTATCAAGGCGAGTCCGTGGCCCTATTTTCGAGACCTGTCTCAACAATGCCCTGCTTTACGATCGAACGGCATGGAATGATGCACTACGAGGAGTTATGTTGGAGATTCGCAGCTTTTTCATTGAAAATCCCATCTTGAAGGATGCAAAGACTGCGATTGCTACATCGGAATACATTAAGAGGCAGACTATTGTATTCGCCTCTCCTACGGTGCATCGCCACACTTGCATGATGCCAAAAAATTCGATATAGAAGATCGATCTGCTTCGCGCGGCAGTCAAACACAGCGTCTCAAATGAAAGCGTCGTGGTGTCGGCGGCCAGTTGGTCGTTTGCGCACGTGGTGAAGACCTGAAGCATCCCATGATACTCAAGACCTCAAAGAGAAGAGAAGAGGTAGGTGACCGGCTTGCCAACAGGAGGGAGTTATCCCTACTACGTCTTCAGAGAGAAGAGGAAGATGACTGATTACCGACCAGGGGTGTAGAAGAAAGGTGCTCCAGCAGGCTTGAAGAGCAATCATCCTATTGACCTTCAAGCATCATCAGCTTAAGAAGCGCCTACAGAGGCACAGAAGCCAAGCTCGATGATCTTTGCGGAAAGAGTGTCTACGTAGATTTCTTGAACAACTACAAGCTGCCGCCAAGGAATTTACGAATCATCCGTAATGCAAGGTCGAAATGAAGCTCTGCCAAAGAGCGCATCCCAAGCTTGTCGTTAATGAGCTTGCCTTCTTCTGAATTCTCGATAGCAAGCGTGCAAGTAAGAGAGGATCGTCCACGTAGATGACCACACTTGTGCTTGCAGCATTGCGGACCGCACAAGCGTCATTCTAGAACGGTGAAAAGCCGTAAAAGGGCGTGAGCTTCGTGAGCTTGTCATATAGAAGAAGTGGTGCCGATCGGACATTCGAGCAGGTAGGAATGAAGAAACGGCAAAGAAGGGCGACCTCGTAACAGGAATCCAGCTGAGTAGTTATGACAGTGTAAAGAGCGCAGCCCATCACAATTCTGGCGAGCTTCTTCTGAGCCTTTCATCCGTCTTTAGCCCGACGGAGGTCCTCATTCACGAGAGGAGAAGAGTGAGAGAAACCGCTGAGGTAGCCGACGAATCTCATGGAAAGCGTGGCGATGTAGGACTCCTGAACAACCAACTGACGACTGTTCATACAATTACAAATGATTCGCTTTCCCAAGTAGTATTACAACACTGCGAATATCGAGAAATCAATATAGCCGATGGTTCAGACCCTCTCGCTGCCAACAGCCAACTTCCCACCTAACTTGAAGACGTCCTGCGCGTCTGCAAAGCCGCTCACGCACCCAATTTAGGCTCCCACTCAAACCACATGCGCGTCTGTTCCCACCAAGCCAGTTCTTGGTACTCCATTTCGCGAGTGGCCATGCGGACCTGATGCAGAGCTTTCTCCAGGGTGAAATGTTCCACGATGAGTAGGCGGCAGACACCGTTCCAGTTGTCGATGATCTGCTGTGTGGAAAGCTCGCCATCGTTTGTTGGGACTTGCGCCCATCGCCCATCGTAGCCCTCGGTCATGCTGGAAACCATCACGTGGTGCGAATGCAATCGCACGCAGAACTGCTCAACAGTTTCGCTGCCGACGGTAAGAGGAGGAGTCTCGTCTCCTCCGCGCTGCACGGCCTCAAGCAGGATCAAAACGACCCACACGACCTTCTCTGCCTTGGTGACACTGGTACGAATCTGAGCGATTGGCAAGACCCACTCGTCGCAATCCTTCTGAGCCTGGCGGATATCATCGAAGATGTCGATGATTGGGCATAGCTCTGTTGGGCCGCCGGCGTTGTGATCGCGATCGTGCGGGTGAACTTTTCGGAACTTGTCTTTCGCCGGACAGTGCTGCAGAAGGCCAGCTAGGAGGAAACGCGCCTTACAGCCTTGAAGGTGAATGTTGCGCTTCACGTTGAAGTCGAGTGCGGTATACTTCTCTGCCGCGTCCTTGATCTTCCAGCGCGCGGTCCAGACGCGGCCGGCGAGGGATTTCTTCTCTGCTTCTAAAGCTTCGATTGAGTTCATGATCTGCGCGCGGGAGTAAGTATATATCTTATCATGCTGTATATTTGGGTTCGGATGTACGGTATTGATGACTTGGAAGCAGTCTTCCAACTCGATGTGCTGGAAGGCCTTTTATGGAGATGTGTGTTTAATGCTGGCTGAGTCTCGGTCGTTGCGCGGCTGGGAGGCTATTGGTTCTGTTTGTGTTTGCCCTTTTGTTTGTTGTTGTTGGATGTTTGAACGTTTTGATGTCTGGATGTCGCGATGAAGAAGTTGGTGCAGTCGATGGAGTCGGTGGAAGGTAGAAGATGAAGGCTTAAGTAGTCCGAGAAGTGGATCCAAAGCTGACACATATTTACCTATTTACTCCTTTTCTCGTGATCACTCCCCCAAGGATTCACAGACATGTTCACCTTCTGCCATATTCACTTTCACACCGCTGCCGCCTGATCCTGGGACACTCGCCGCCGACCAACAGTGTCACGACGCTCCTTGAAGTGGAGGAAAATGGAGGAGGGCTGGTGCACGAGCCTTTGCGCTGCAGCGGACCGCCAATTCACGGAATCAAAGCCTGCGGAGTCGAAGCCTGGATCTGTGTAGGATGACGAGAAGGCATCATGCTCGTACTTTCAACCTCGAGGACCGTGTGAAGTCCACGGCAATCCCAGATCGAGAAGCAGAGCGACCTTGTTAGCGTAAAAGCCCCTTCTCGCCCGAGAGACCTGGAGGCAGTCCGTATCGACACAATTTCCGAGCGATCGGACGGACATGATAGCGCTCCAACTACTTCTTTAAACGTGGTCTACCTGTGTGAAAGGAACGCGGAATTTCGGCCCACAAAGTCTCTCCTCAAAGCTCCGAGACATCCTACGGGAAGATTGATCAGGACCGACAATGCTGGAAGGGCAAGCATGTGAAATGCGTTTGTGTGAGCTTCAAACATCTGGCGGATTTGTCGCCGTTCTAACATGTTCTAGGCGTCCATTCAAGTGCAAGAACGGGTCAATATGCTGTTCGGGCTGGCCGAGGAGTACCGCAAGCAACTCGCGCTTGTTGAGGAGGGATTGCTGAAATGTATCTCCGCTTGTAAGTAGATCAAGTGGATGACTCGCGAGGTGGCTGCAGTGAACATGGAGATCGAGGTCATGTTGGCCCAGCTACAGTACAACGGCACGCTTCGCGAGCAGCAAATGGAGGTGGCCCGCATAGAGGAGGACGTTGACTTCGGGCTTCGACTCGACCAGCGATGGGAATCATGGTTCCCAACCAAACCGAGGCTCGACTGCGTCTTCAGCAGGCCTCTTCATTAAGTACTCTGTCGCCTCCCTAAGCCGATAAGAAGAGCAGAGCGAAGAAAGACGACATAAGGAAGCATAATATGTCTCAAAGCCATGGTAAGACACTATCGCGACTTCCTGAACGGGGAAACGTAGTCTTTAAGAAGCATTTTGCAGTTTCCTGCCGCTATCTGCTGCCATCTTACTGATCGAGACATTCACGGCCCCAAGAAGAGAAACAGAAGGCCATGGTGAATATGAAAGATGCTGGAATGGAAGTCATACGTTATGCAAGACATTTGTAACCGTATTCAATGCTTTTATTGACATTCTATTCGGCCGATGAAGAGTTCTTTTCCCCGGCAGAGACTCCTATCGATGATCCAACGGAAAGATCGGCGGTGCTGAGCGTTTACATAGCTCTATATCACTCCAGCCTGGCACATACGTTGACTCCATCCCTCTCAATCGTATCCAGAGCTGTGCTGCTATTGAACCAAGCTGCGAAGCAGGCGGAAGCAAAGGCAAGTCTACTGATGAATAAGCTGGAATGCTTTCCCGAGCGGCTCTGCTTTTCATTGCTGAATGAAGTCCTCCGAACTATGCCCACCTGGCGCTTCTTAGCAGTTTTAGGTGCGGTTGACATGGTTTGATTATCATCACACCTTTGGTACCTTTTGTGTGCGGTGCGGAGATCTTAGCGACAAGTCCACGATGAGATTACACTGCTTGAGATCCGATGCGACTCTGGTCGACCAGTTGATATCGAGAGGACTAGCGTTCGGGACCTATGATCAGGTGGTACAGCCATTCCGTTCAGCATCAAAACTCAGCCCGACTTGAAGGTAGCAGGCACACATCCAGCTACTGTAGAGGAATTGAAAAATGATGGCCGCTCTGGAATTCAAACCATCTTCCAACCGAATTTCTTTATACCAGAATGTCGAGGCGATGAACTTCGGTTTGGTTTCTCCACTTACTTCAACGTCTTAAATCTTGGAGGCGAGGAAGGTACGCGTAAAAGATCGGGCATGCTTTCCAATCTTGAGAAGAAGGCGATAAAGCTTACCCGGCTAGATGTCCGCACCGAGCGACTGGACTAGGAGCTAACCAAGAGAATGAAGGCGCGGTAGAAGCTCCAGGTGTGTGAACAGTGATCATTTTGGGAACCACTACGGAACCAAACTCTTGCGTAGGTGTTTCGGCACTCGAGGTCGGCAAGTCCATGGCCATTTGGCTTTTCGGCTTAGACTTGTCCAGGCAAAGTGGCTCCATCTTTAACAGCCCTTTGAGTTACCGTCGAGGTTACATCTTGTGAGGAGGGATGTGTACCGGGAGGTCGGGGCAGGGAACAGTTCTTCCATCGGTTCCAAGCACTTGTCCGCCGATTGTTTTCCCGTTTTCAAAGCGTCACCTCTCATGGAGTGTGATCCATAGCGCCGTCGCTTCAAATCAAGTTGTGGAAGGRGCCAGTAGTCCTCTTTGGCTGGTGCCCTGTTCAAAACGGTCAGTGGCTGTCATCTCGTTGAGAAAGGTGACAGATCAAGGACAACATCCACGTTCAAAATGATTCGAACGGACTCCCAACGATCTTTTAAAAGCCCTGAGCTTTCGTTGCTCCTTTGTCTCCTTGAACGTGATTGAGATCCTACGGACTTTGGTATCCAAACAGCTGTGTCTTCCATCGTTCACCAGCGCGAGCCTTCAATGAGCCTCACAATCCTCTCGGTTGACCACGAGGATCGCATTSATCGTCCCCTTCTTGCATGCTTCAGCATCTCCTGAGTATCTGTAAGGACCAAGATGCAGTCTTCGTCGTTGCACGGCCGGACGCCTGTTCCATTGCAAATTGTTTGAAAGTCTAGCGCCTGATATTGTCCGTCCAGCRCGTCCCGCCAGGTTGTTCACTGTCTTTCCCCTCAGGTCCTCCATAGGTCGTTCGGCGCGTTAGCATCGTTGGAGTCTCTCTGAACTTTCCAGAGTGCTCGCGTGGAATGGTAGTGGAGCCAAGGTCGGTGGCGGGCGTGTTCAGCATCAAAGGGGGATGGGTAGAGCTCCATGGTCCCGGGAAGGAGTGATGAGAGATACATCGAGTCATCCGGCGGACGAGTAACGATGATCGCGTTTCGAGATGATGTTGGAAAGACAAGTTTGGCGGACAGGTGGTCTGCGAGTTGTACGCAATCCTTGTTGAACGTGTCGGACGTGAGCGCACAAGTACTGTGGCCTTGTGTGCCGTTATATGTCGTGAGGGRGGGGTGGGCGATAAGACGCGCCACCGAGTTCTTCAGATGTCGATGGTGATGGGCGAAGTCAATGCAGGATCGAGAATGTAATTGTGACGGGCTCGATTGTGGCAAAAACCCAGATTCGCCTGTGGACTGACACAGTAGTAGCAACAAATGCTCTCAGCCCGTTGAAGGCTCAATAGGCCATTCTCTTCTCGCACCAGGCCTTCCGCTACCCCAACCCTAACCCTCACCCCTGAAGCCCTGGCGGCCAAGTTGCACATCCGAGTCCTAGATACATTCTGTCTTTTGTCACGCGGCCTCATAGCCATGCTGTGACCCCAAAGGTGTCATGATTCCCAATCTCATCTCTATGCATCATGCTGCCAAATCCAGGCCATCTGTCTCGTAGAGCTCTCGATATATGGATTTTTCATCGAGACAAGACACTTCCAGTCGTCTTTATAACGCTTTAGGCCTTGCTCTCCGTAGGAGTGACGATTCTAGAGCTGCTGGAACGTGTATTACTAGCAGAGTGCCTCGTTGTTCACCGGAGAGGGTATTTTAGGCCGCGGGTTTTTTGATTATTCTCTCATATCGACAGCTTTACTGTGTCGTGCCAAGAAGTGCCAAAAAGCACGCTAGCTGCTTTTCGCTGCCGTTCTCCGAACTTCTCCTCGACCACACCTTCACCACTTACCATCACTACCACCTCCACCGAAAACGTAAGTGACTCTCACACTATCACCATCGCATAGCAGACACGCACTAACACCGGCAAAGCATGACAGAAATCACCGCAGAAGAACTCCGTGCGGGCCTCGCAAGGCTCCCACGCCTCCTCCAAGACCGCATCCGCGACAACACTCTCCGCATCACTCCCGGAATCACCACAATCAACCAGGCATACAAGCCACCAATCCAGCTATCAATCAACCACGCCATCCGCGAGAGAGCCGCCAGTATCTACTACGGCGGATCACAGATCTGGAAGTTCGCGGGCAGAGGCAGCAACTCCCAGCACCTTTTTGCCTGGTTGCGGACGCTGTCACATGAAGATCTTGGCCGGCTGCAAGATTCCCTGCGTCCTGACCCTAAGCAGGCGGAAAATTATGGCTTGTATATGACGAGAATGGTGATTCGGGGAGAAGTCTTCAATGTGGCGATTTGGAGCAAGAAGGAATCGAACGATGTGTTTGTGCTTCGGGGGTTGCTTCTGGCGAGGGATTCGGTGGCTGTGGGGAGCTACCCCGTTGGGATTGAGAGAGGTGCGGGAATTGGTTTTGGGGAGGGAGATTGGGGAACGTGTCCTACGCAGTAATGAGCTCTGTGGAAAGGAACAGGAAGCTGGATGGTTCAAAGCGGATGCCGTGTTTGAGAGAGAATACGATTGGAGTAACGACAGAGATACGAGAGAAATGGAACGAAAGAATACCGAGTACTAAAAATTACTTCTTCCCATCCTTCTTTTTCCCTTTGGTAACTTTCTTAACAAACTTATTGATACCCCCAACCACAGCATCCGCGAAACGCTCTGGCTTTTTTCTCTCCCGTGGGCTCCTCCTTGGAGAAGTCTGGTCCCCAGTAGGAGGCGTCGTACCCCTTGCAACAACCCTCCCCGGCTTCTGAAACGCCCGCATTTGTCTCAGACGCTGCTTATCAGCCTCATTAGATTTATCAACCCTATCGAATCCAAAAAGCCCACCAAGAGAGGCACGTGTACCTCTCCCTCTCGAAGTATTCTTAGTTGGCGTGCCGCGATCTTCACGACGTCGAAAGCTAAGATCTCGATCATCGTCCGGCTCGCCTTGAGGAAAAGCCGAAGGAAAGCTCTGAGGTTGGCGCTGATCCGCAGTCGGTGCGAAGACATCATCTCTCGGATCTGGGATGAAGAAAGGTGGTGGCGGCAGCGGTCTTGCGCCTCCTGTTGGGACACGAGACTCACGATTGAACCATACTGGAGGACTTTGGTTCGGGGGCGGTAGTGCGAAAGGGGAGATGCTACTGTTTGTACGAGGCGTACTGCCTGTAGCGGCTCTAGTGTTCCGCGATTCGGGTGTTCTGAGAGAAGCATTTCTGACTTTCAATGGGCCTCGCTCGTAAGGTGGTGTGCGGTCGATAGCAGGTTCGTAATCTGTAACGTAGACTGCTGGCTCGGGACGATAGCAAGTGATGACATCGCTCGGATCGAACGACCCTGATGGTGGTGGTTGGGGCGTGGTACTTGCTCCAGCGAAAGTGGGAACTGGTTCGTTGTTGTTGTCTGTCTCCATCACGTCTTCGCCTTCTAATCCCTCGATGTTATCGTAGAGGTCGAAGTTAAACGATTCTCCCGGTTGGCGTTCCCGAGTGATAGAGCCACGGCTTGCAGGACGTGCTGTTGAAGGCCATGTTTCAACCACACTGGTGACGCGTTCCCTCTGCCCCGATCCGTTTTGCGTTTCGGTAGTCCTCACCACTCGTTCCCATGATCGAGACATCGTTTTGAATAAAGATTCTAAAGATTGCTGGGGGAATGAGATGGATACTCGGAGCGATGGGTTTCGTGGATCTGTGAGAGAACAGCCTTGTCGTCCAAGCTGAGATGAACAAAGACAGCCGTCCGGAAATGGCCATCTGCGGTGACAATGATTTTCCAGCGTCTTTTCAAAATGATTTGACAAAGAAATTCCAGCCCAATCCGGAGACGTCAGCTCGCTCATCTTAGATCGGGACTGGTGCCGAATGGGGATAGATGGAGACGAGTCCGATCAACTCGCTCCGGAAAAATGAATTCATTTGAGTTAACCTCAACTGATCTACTCTAGGCGACCTGATGCCTGCTTCATGGCACATCTTCAACACGCTGGTCCATCAAATGCTGTGAAGAGAAGAGTCGCATCGGATGACTCGGGAGATAGATGCTGCCAAAGCCGAAGCTCCTTCTTGCGCGCAAAGCAGTGATGGCCAGGCATCATGATCAGGGAAGTCGGTCTCGAGCAGAGGAACGCCTCTCCCCTCAGCTGGGGCTACTGAGGCTTTTTCAGTCTCTCAATCGTCTTCCGCTGCGAGCCATCCTCTAGGAAATACTGCATGTGGGCAAGAAACACAGCGGATCTGCCGTGTGTCGCGGCAGCAATGGAACCTGGGTAGCTCCGGAAGGATTGTTTGCAAGATCAAGTTGAGATTTGCAGACTATCTTCCATCGCGTAGTGCAACGGATGAACGAGGGAAATGGGCTTGAGAACTGTCCAATTGATACCCACGCCAAGACAGGATGAGTGGCTTGATTCTGCTGGGCCAGTTGATTCCATGAAGGACTCTTTGACATTTCGCTACGCTTTCTGCTTCTGCCACCGCTCCTATATCACGTCGATTGGTCTGCGGGAGCTTGAGGAAGAAGGTGGCTTTCGAGTCGTTGACATCGCTGTGCAGTGCGTCACCCATTGCAAGCTGCTATTGGCCTCTTGGATTAAGTTTTTTGCTGTTTGGGATCATCATCAGCAGACAATGGCGTGACCAGAATGGGATCTGAGGAAATCTGCGGGAGATCAGCCTTGATGAATGTGGTTGCTACCGATGATCTGTTCCTTCACCATCGACAGGCATTGTCGCCCGAAATACCTCTCTGCAAGTATGCAATCGGAGACCGGTAATCCACCGCTTTGTTCTGCGCAGCAACTCTGCGGCGTCCTGGTTTCTCCTACCGTTCACTGCAGGTCCTGGGATCCACCCGACAGTACGATTTCTCTCGATCGAAGCCAATACCCACGGCGAATCCCTCTAAAAGTGTGCCTTCCTCCTCAATGCCGTGCAAGGCAAGCTCCGGCTGAGTTGCATCGTGCAGATTTCTGGCATCTGGCGTTTCCAGAACGCAGACTCAAAGCGACGAGGAATCCAAGCAATCTCGTGAATGCTATAGCGTCCTTCACCTAGCCGGTCTCTGACTCCGTCCCAGACTCCTTGACAATTAGACTGTCATCTGACTGTTGGTTGTCAGCGATGGTGACCTCTTCTCGATCATCTTTTTCTCAGTCTCGCAGTGCTCTCAAGTCGTAACCACCTCAGTTTCAGATTCGCCCAGTATGAGATGCTCATGCAACTCTGAAATGCCGGAGACGATGCGTCGAACCCGGAGATCTTCCACTGGGGAGAACCCTGGCCCCGTTCCTCAGTGCCGAAGCCCGGGCTCCTTGCCGCTCTCATACCGACCTCAAACTCACACCCGGCTCACGGTGACATCCTTCAACCCCGGCGCTCATCAGACGTCAAGTTTTCATCCGATCACGGGTTGTCGGTGATGGGGTGTTGCACTTGAAGTTCACCATCCCGAAAAGACGTGTTACTGAGTCCCTGGAGGAAGAAGTACGGAAGTCGCTGCCTCTCCTATCACCTTCAACTCCATCGTCAGCAAACTCCACCTGGGTTCGAATTCGCTCCAGACCAAAATGTCATCCGACTCTGCCGCCGGCAATGGTGCGCTGTTCGTAGAAGTTGCCGTTCCGGAAGGCTACCTTGCAGCATCCATGGAATTCAAGAGCACAGTTCTCTTCTCAAACTCCTCGCTCCACTTGAATGATATATCAAGTGGCTGTGAGAAACTGCTGCCATGTCCAAGGAAGGCAGCAGGCGAAAGCATTACCCAGCCCCGACACGGCCAGCGTAATACCTGAACAGTCAAGCCCGACAATTCATCTGCCGGGGAGGTTGGCCATGGAAAATCCAAACCATTCCTCGGAAGCTCCTTGGTTGTGCCCGGAAGTTCTCCGTAGACGGAATCCGAGCAACATCAGCGCCTGGCAAACTCTCGGCCTTTAAGTCCTTCCTGCGCTGCTCGTTGCCGGACTCGTCAGAGGCCTGACGGATGACGATCCGGGAATGATCGAGTGAGTAGTCTCAGCCAGCTTTGAAGTACTGCTTGGTTGGGATGGGAAGACGATTCGTCCTCGCCTTGCTGATGCCAAATCTTCATACAGAAACGTCGGAGAAGATGACGCGTGACAGGAAGCTTGACCTGGTGATGCAAAAGGCATGTGATACAAGAGCAAGTCTGGCTTTGGTGCCGGTTCAGGTGATGTGTCTGCAGGAGCAATCTCCATCGCCGCGCAGGTGGAAGCCCTGAATCGAGCGATGATCTTGGAACATGTGTGACAGCTCCGTCTTGTCCTGCTACACTCGTGGAGATTACCATCATAGTCATCACAGCCCGTCACTGTCACTAGTAGGGTGGTGAAAGCTCCGACCAGAGGCAAGAGGACATTGCCGTAACGACCTACGAGAGTTGTCGCACAGCGGATGCACACCGTTAGACCTCAAACAGTTGGATCTTCATCTTGATACCTGCCCATCAGCGACGGTATGGCGTTCACACAGCCTCAAATTGCAACCAGTCGATTCCGATGGAAGGAACAGCTCTGATCGGGCTTGCTCCTACTTTTGCCCTTGTGTGGCTTGTTTTGGTCGCGAAGTCAATGCCGAGGAGTATCTGATCAGATGGAAGATCGCAGATGAAGTAGCTCATGAAACTGGCGAAAGGACAGAGAGACAGGGTCGAATTTAGGATACTGCTTGAGAAAATATAGACCGATCCATTGGATGATGTACCAGCGGGGAGATTTTCGCATCCGACTCAGGTGTTTGACTTGATCGTGTAAGCAGTCGAGTGGGCTTCGGAACGACATGTCGAATCTCGCAAGATCAAGCTTGAGAGCAACGAGACCGTCAGCTGAATTCTTGAATGTCTCCTCAATGCCGTGCTACTTTCGGCCAGCCGATACCCTCCGGCGTATGCGTTGGCACAAAGGTCCAGTTCGCCAGGGATGCTGCTCGATGCCGTTGGTGGTGTAATAGTATGTGTGCGGTTCGCAGCAGAGTCACGGGCCAGATGAGCTGGGATCATCGGCGCACGAGTGGATTCTGCTCTTGTGCTGCTTCTAGCTGCGATCGAGCGATCGCACGACGCACTCGGAGCCGGATACCCCGTGGAAGGGCCTTCAGGAGTTGACACATCCCAGTGTAGGGAGACTGATTCTCCCCGGACAAGCTGATGTTCTTGGTTGCATGTGACGGCACTTGAGCGGTCTCCGATCCGACAGCGTACCTCTTGAGGCCATATGCCGGCTTGACCTCGTCCTTCAAAGTTCAGCTCAAGCTCAAGCCCAGGTACGGGTTTGGATCCGATCTCAAGCTTGATTACAGACTTAACGTGCAACTCGTATCCAGACTCTTCGTTCTCGGTATACTATGTGTCCATGGGACAAAGTATCTCCACAAGCACGCTTGATGGACGAGCGGGTCAGAAGAAAGTCGAGAAGTTCGAGGAGATGATCTGTTTGCATCTTAACAGTCCGTCGTCCTTGAGTGTGGGGGTAACACCACAGCATCAAAGCTACCCTGACACTGGAGACGAGCTGGTTGCCCRTCGGGATTCTCAAGCTACCGGTCAGTCTAACCCTCTATTCCAGTCCGTTGAAGGCTCAACCAGTCGGCCGGGCTTCCGTAGGGTAGGAAATAGCGCTGACAAGACTCGGCGGAGACGGTAGGACGTATGTTGATAGACTGGCCTTGCACCCCTCCAGTTTGGAACCATATCTGAAGCATCAAGAAGATGAGGTGGAGGCCCGGGAGTACGTGCCAAACATTTGAAGGCCCTGTGAACATCTGGCTGCGGTGTGGTGTGCAAGACTTGAGGTGCTGTGTCACCTGCAGCCTCTGCGTAGTCGAGGTGTCGCCGTATTCGGTTTCAAGCTCTTTCTTCACTCCGAACCGAGTACCTGCTGGCCAGTAGAGCCGTGAGAGGTTTCAGAATATGAAGCTGTAAGAAAGCATAGAGGCAACGATTTAACCCGGAGGGACTGATATGACGCCAGCAGATGGCTGTGTGCGGGAACTGCTGTGAGGCACCCCCTGGCCACGAATAGATCATCATCGGCGACTGCCATCGGTAGGCACATTGATGATTTTCCGGGCGCCGCTTCGAAGCGCTTATTGAGTGTAGAACCAATGCATAGAACTGTAATGGCGCGCCGACTAGTCGTTGAGTCGCAATCGCCGCTCTGGATACCATGACGGTACCGCGGCGGGGTGAACATTCACACAGCTGAGCCATCTCCATCGGAGCATTCGAATCCATGTTTTGCTAAGCAGGTACTGTCGCCCACTTTGAAGATGTAGCGATAGCGGCCGCCTGTCATGCTCTCCAGGCGTATCTTCGTGTAGGGAGTGAAGCAAATGCTGGGCATTTGAAGTCACCGTCGGGATGGCGAGAGGCTGTGGTGTCTGCGTGTGAAAAGAATTTCTGAGGAGCATGGGCTTCAAGTCTTTCAGGCAAGAATCTAGAAAGAGTTACCACGAGCGATGTAAGCCTCAAGGAGCAGGGCCCAGTGACAATGGGTCTTTGTTGTGATCCATTGCAGCCACCCATATCGAAGGACTTCTTGCACCTAGACGTAGTGATCTCGATCGTAACTGGATGAACGTCTATAGGTCGAGAGGCGGAAAGTCCTGAAGCTGTAGATATGAGTGGGTGTGATCCGGGTCCCTATGTCATCCTATGGAGGTCGACCCGGTACTCGAACGGGAGACAAACGTTGACGTCGCTGTAATCGATGGGAGGCTGTTGTGGCGGCAGAGATGCAAGACTGTTCGAGTCTGTTCAAGATGATTGAAGTGAGGCTATCGCGCTGGAGATATCGTCGCACCATGTCGTACTTCCCTGCCCCTGCAGACCGCGTCGTAAGGAACTCTGCCGAATGCATCGCCATGGGTGCCTGTCTGATTCGTGTCTGATTCCGGCTCCTGTTGACGATGGTGTGACGCCAGGAGCGTGAAATACTCGGAGAGAAGCAGCAGCTGTCCTTAAAGTGTTGAGCTGCTGCGTATTACCAGGCAGTAGCTTTGGTCTGCAATGAGAGCAGCGAGCTCGATGAAGTTCTTGGGCARCCTACGTGAATCTGGCGTCGTTGCTTTCGAGAATAATCATCCATCGGAGCAAGACAGTACATGGTTCGCCTGATTGAATGAAGAGGAAGATGGAGGAATCCGGCGTCAGTCTGCTTGATTTGACCTCTTGAGTTGCTGAATGGAGGAGACGGGCTCCTGTAAATAGCTTCGCGTTCTCGAGGTGGGTCCACTTTACTTCCCGCTGCTTGATCTTCAGATCTGATCCCAAACATCCTCACCACCCATCGCGAAATTCTCTCAACAACAACATGAATCGTTCATTGCAACGCTACCGGCGACAGCGACAAGCATTCAAAGGGCAGCTTCTCATCCAATCCGCCTGCAGATTCTCCGGCCGTGTTGTAAGACTCACCTGCACCTTTTCCATGAAATCGAATGATCCCCACTGACCGCCGCAGCAACAACAAGACCGTTGCTTTGCACCTCCAACAGTTCCTCGACCATTAAATCAGCACACGCTTCGAGCACTACGTCCTGGGAATATCAACGTCGAGCGCATCTTCAACGAGCATACTCGGAGCCTCCCTCCTCGCCAGCATTCACCAAGACCGGCGCACCGCAATCAAAATGGCCAACCACTCATCCAACTCCACCGCCTCCTTCACCTGCGTCCTCGGCCTCGTCCCAGCCGTAGCTCTCATCACCATCACCATCGTAATGAGCCTCGCCTTCCTCACCATCGGCACCCTCTACGTGATCCTCCTCAGGAAGTCCGCGCAAGTCCCCGTCCCGGACGAAGAAGAAGCAGTTCCCGATGCAGTCGAGCAGACTCGCCGTGACTTGGAGGGAGAGGATCATGGCTCCGGAGAAGGCCGTACGGAGACGGAGCTTGTCGGAGACATCTTTGTGCGCAGTGAGAGCCGGGAGAATCGCCGCAGGCGGGCTCGGGATTTCTTCCGCTCTTGATGCTTCCTTCTTTGGTAGAGAGGGTCGACAAGGCTATGCTGTTGAACCGTCGTGGCATAGGACGCGAATAGGGATTGGAAAAAGTAGTTGGAGATGGACAGAGAGAGGTAGGCGCGAAAGACGGAATCAACGATAGCTTCCGAATGATTCATCAAGATTTTGACACATGCTAAACTATGGTTCATCATGTATATCGGAGCCAGCAACCTTTCTCCAATCGATTTGATCGCCACTTGCAAAAGACCTGCCGTCGAACGCGTCCAGTCCGCTTCGTCTTCCACAATTGTGCAAATGAGGACATCATGAACTCCTTTACGTCCGCCGGAAGCGAAAATGTCCATGTGACAGAGAAACCATCGATGTCGACATCGAACATTCTTGCAACGATTGATGTCCCGAGAACATCGCTGCAGATGTATCAAGAGCATGACCCTCGCGGTGGAGGAAGTTTGGCTKAGGTTGAGATGTTTGTCAAGACGAGTGCACATTTTCCGTCTTCCATGGTGATGCTGCCCTCGATCAATGGGTCGCTGATGTCCACGGCGAAAGCCATGTCGCTGGCGGCTTGCATTCATTCAATGATGACGGCGTAGACTCTTGCAATGAAAAATCGTTGAATGAGTCGATGACCAAGGTTAGCAGGCCAGCTCATTGTGGAAGGAAGTCCGGGAGGTTGAATAGATTATGAACGCGTTCAAATGAAAACTTTGCTCCGCAACTATTCAAACTTGGACACAGTATGCCTCTGCTTGTCATTTCGCTCCTCCTCCTCCCGTCGTCTACTCTTCTTCTCTTGTGATCCTTCATGTGTCTTTCGGAAGGCACAATGTATGATTCGAGCCTGTTCCTGATTATCCACCAACATCGTGTGCCCCGACGCTGCCGGACTCGCTGAGTCTGCCTTAGTCACTCAAGCCTTCGTCGTCGACGATGAAGGTATCCTCGCTGTCCGCATCCACAACCTTTTCTAGGGTTGTGGCGCCATCTCTTCCAATGCAGGCTCATTAGCAAGAGCCGACTGTAGGATTTCTAAAGCCAGCTTTCCGTCGATGAGCGTTGCCTCAAGCTGAACGAGGGCTGAACGCGTCTCGATTATCTCCATCGTAGTCAAAGACGCGTGTTCGGATAGTGTCTGATCTCTTGAGCCCACTGTATGCCACTATGTTGCTGCCGGAGCCGTGCTGCAGGTATCGTGAATCAGTTTGTTCACCAGACTCCTGTTGTGTCAATCGAAATCCCATCCACCTGTTCGACGAGCGGGTCAACTCCATTCTCGTCTTCCCGCTGTGTCCCAACGATATTCCCGCCGCTGATTCCGTCGTGGTTGTGATGCCGCTTACGTTGCAATGCCGCCATCATTACAATGCCGCGCCGTCGTTGGAATGCTGCCGTCGTTGGTGATGTTACCGTCGATGTTGCTGTCGTCGCTCTCATTGACGAGTTGCCTAGAACAGCAGGGTCGAGGTGAACGCGTTGAATCGAGATCGGTGCTCCTTAATGATGCGCGTCTCGACGAAACGCGCCTCGCACRGCCTGCCTCAGAAGATGTACCGCTGTCATGATCGACGAAAGCCCTGCTGCTGATTGCGAAGACCCTCTCGACAGCCTCGTTTTTGAATCCTCCGTCGCGGAAGGTTGGACAAAGCCGATTGCTGGGTATGTCAGTCCACCACTTTCCAGGGTGTCTGCCATACGCTTAAATGACATACCACGCCGCTGGCTGAGGCTGAATCGCTGCCCATCGTACCGAGTAAATGTTGAGGGAGGCAGAGGCTCGAGCCATTTCTGTGCTTCTCGGCGAACAAAGGAATCGGAAGACGCGTATATCGGCATGTTTTATCGAGGTTGCATCTTCCAGGGCTTTTTAACGATGCTCGTGTTATTTCGACCTGCAACTTCCATGACGATAGCCATCTTTTGATCGTGCTTCCCCTCGTTGTTGATGTGCGGATCGTTGGTAATGTGCAGCTTGATGGGTGTCCGTGTTGCCAGACTCGTCGTCGATCCCTGGATGTGCCGCCGCTGGCGATGGTATCGCGTTCACCGGTGCGGCTGTGAGAGGGATCAGTAACGAAGCTCTGTAGCTGTCGAAGGCCATCCGTTCCTTGACGTAAGGCTCATGGTCGGCTGTATGGAAGCGCTCGCCCTTGCTCTCGGGATGCCACTGTCGCTGCTGTTGTTCTTGTGTCCGGCGCTGGTAGAGCTCTCTTTTCCATGGCTGAGTCACTACTCCTGTCGTTGCGGGTGTGATGGCAGCAAGATGAAAGACGCGTCGGAATCTTGTTCGTGATCTTCTCGCTGGCTCCGCCGAGGTTGCGCCTTTCGACATGTTGCAAGCCAGCGAGAGGTCCGGCATCGAGGAGGTGGCAATGTCGCGATGCCTTCGATCGCTCACTGCTCAATCGTTACCGGGTCTTATCAGCCGCGCTGGCCTGGCTTGACAGGCTCGTTGTCTTGTTGTTGTTCATGCTTCTCGATGGAACCTTCGCGTCGAGATTACGACTTAACGACTTGCTCTACATCCGACCGATACCAACTTCTTCGTGGAGCTCTCTGCTAATCATCCGTCTTCTCTATGTCTTTTGCTTACATCTCAAGCTACGGGCTCTATGATTACTTCTTCCGCCATCTTCCCAGCTTCACCGTCGTTATGGATGGTCCGCAGCTCAACGGATCTCCCCTCCCCGATCCTGTACCTTCAATGCATCTCTCGCATGGCGTTTCAGCCCGGATATGTTGTTCACAGTGCTCTAGTCACTCGTTGCAGAGGACATAGGTCTTCATCTACCACGCCTTCGAGCGGAAGACRGCAAGTTGGAGGGATGCTTGCGGACTCGTCTTGCTGTCCGCAACGTCTCAAGGAGCACTCCGCCACCTACACGATGGCATTCCTCCAGTTCTTCCTCTTCCACGGAGGTCTGTTCGATCAATACACTCTCCTCATCTTGTCTGCGGTGCTTCCTGTTCATAGTAGAGACCTCAAGAGGCACGAAGCTCTGTTCAAAGGCGGAACCCAACACATTACATAGATCCTCGTAATACAATCTTGCTGCTATCGTTGCGTGCTTGTACTTGCCCTCACGATGAATCAATCACCTGTAGAACCTCCCCGTCCTGAGCCCGTCCTGTACAGACAATCCCACCCAGTCTGAGAGCCCCAGCTCTTGCCCAAATTCCACCAAGGCCGCGCAAGTTCGGCCCGGCAAGTGGACCCGTACTTGCGCCAGGTGATGTTAATAGGGATCACGCAATTCCGAACTTTCATCATCAAAAGTCTCAACGAGCAATGGGTCAGTTGGCCGAGTGGTATGTCAGGTAAGTACTTCCCTCCCCTTGTGCTGTGTGGTGTTGTGTGTCTTCAACAGTCACCCGACTAGGATGAGGTCCCCTTCATAGTTTGGGGATCCGGCTGTTCGGGCCATCTTTTTTTTTGATGATTTCTCAGAGGAGTTTGGGTGTTATTTTTTTGGTGGCGGGTTGGAGGTGTTGGTTTGGGCTGGCGTTAGAAAGCCATATTGGGTGGAGGAGTTTCCCACTATGTCTACTTTTTGACTGCCACATCGTTGATGGAAAGTAGCAGAACGAGAATGTGATATTGCAGTAACTCATTCATGCTTTGGTCGCGTATTCCATCATGTTCATCTTGCTAGAAGTACAGCAAATGTCACCGACTTGGTGATGCTACTGAACTGAATGACATGCAAGTCTTCCATCACCATCAAGCCGCTCCAGCATTGAACATACACGCCCCGGCGAGGTTCCATCCTCGCCCAGAATCGAAAGGCAATGCCTGATGTTGGCCCATTCGTGAGATTTTCTGGTTGCTTTGAACCTACCAAAGTCCGCGTCCAGACCGGCCAACTTCACGTTCTTTATGCCACAACAGCTCTCCTGATTGGAAACACAATATTTAGAACCCCAGAAAATCAGAGGTCACTCACGCCCCCTCATGCATGGATTTCATCCAGCGACAATGCCAGTGAATGTTGTGGTTGTTGAGCAGTGCTTTTTGCTGCTTCCGCCGTACTTGACAGTTGCGTCCAACGTTTTCAAGCAAGCGAGGACGTGAGAACTTGCCAGCTTTTTGCTACACCACCCTCCCTGAACCTCCACGCAAACATATAGACACGCAGAAAATCAGGGGTTACTCGGACGATACCTCCCTTTTATCCTATCACATCAAATTGGTTGCACCCGTTTATGGCTGGGGTTCAATTCCCCGAGCGTAGAGCTCAAATGATCTGTATCGGCTTTCGATTGCACGAGAATTGCGGAAGGAAGCTGGCTTTTTGCTACGCCACCCTCCCTGAACGTCCACGCAAGATATAGACGTGCAAAAAATCAGAGGTTACTCGGGCAATGCCTCCCTTACATCCTATCAAATGAGATTGTTGGCATATGGTTGAGGCGTGGGTTCAATTCCCCTCCTGTACAGCCTGATTGATCAATACCGGCTTGCAAACTCGCGAGGTTGCAAGGGAAGGCCAGCTTATTGCTACACAGGCTCCCATAAATCACCACGCAACATTTAGACATGCAAAAAATCGGCCGTGACTCGGTGCACATCCATCCCGGATTCTATCTGAAAACATAAGGAGGTCATGGTTGACGTTGCGGGTTCAATTCCCCATCCAAAGGACATGGCTGTTCAACATCCAAGGGCGGCGAACTTTTGATCTTCGGGGAAGAACGCCAGCTTCTCGACACCCAACAGCTCCGCACTTACAGGCAGAGCTGTGGAGATCCGCCGGACCGCTGGAGCTCTACACAACCACATCCTTACTGATCATGGGTCTTGGAACGCACCAGCAGACCTTTCGCAAGCAAGGAAATGCCCAACGAGTCCTCCAGCATCACAATCGCGACAGACAGACGCGTTTTGATCGACCTGCTGTGGTGGGCGGTGTGTCCTTGAGCGACAGCATCGACTCCACCCCCTATGTCTCTCCGAGCTGCAGTATCGGCGCAACGACGAGCTGCCCGGAAGCCACTCGCTACCA